CAAAATTACCATAGGCTTGTATGCAGTCTTTTGCAAAACCACAAAATTAAATATCCACGAAAGTGTAAGTTTTCCTCAATCCACGAAAACTGATACCCACGAAAACAAGCATTCTGTGAGTATTGCATGGCAATACATAGTCCCCTACCGGTTAAAAACCTACAACTAAACTTTTCAAACATATTACTAAAGAAAAGGACAAAAATCCAAAATGTCATTTATCTTAATACAATGTCGTTTACAAATATTTTAAAAAATGAATTATTTCCCTTTGAACAAAAATCTAGTAATTAATAAGTATTTCATCAAAAAATTAATTCTAGGAAAGGGCTTTAAATGTACAAGGAGAAAAGCTAAAATCGTGAAAATAGAACTTGACCTGTAACTTGTCATGATAAATCAATACACCAAATATCAAATAAATATCTTCAAGCATGAAGAAAAAAAGTCTGGAAAACTGATTTGCCGGACTGACGGATGGATAGACGGACAGACGGACAAACAGACAGACAGAGTGCAAACCTAAAGTCCCCTTCGACTTCGTCGGTAGAAGACTAATACATGAATCCAAAGTTTCTATTTCTGGCTAATGACCAAAGGAAAGCTTTTGCAAGCTATTACAAGGACTTAAGTGCTCCTAAACCTGAACAATTTGATGAATAATGTGTAAATTTATGAAAAATCCGACAAAAAGAAACATGAGAAATGATGAAATTTTTTGAAGACCAGGGAATACCTTCTATTTATTTTAATGCTGCGGACTTAATCAAAGCTATTGAAGAATTAAATATGAATAAAAGTGCTGATGAATTTGGACTACATGTACGTGCAGAACATCTCTAACTTTGCAAAAAGGAAATAGCACCTTACTTAACTCTTATTTTTCTGGTGATTAAAGAACTATATACTAATCTGACAACAAAAGTACAATTGCAAGGAGATCTTAGCATGCTTAATGAAAAATTTCCTGTTCACCAAGGTGTTCATCAAGGCAGAATTTTATCAACTTATCTCTAAACAATCGGTATACAAGATCTGCTTTTAGAATTGGAAAGAAACTATTTAGGCTTAAACATTGGAAACATTTTTGTCTATACTCCTACTTGTGCTGATGACATGGCTTTTATTGAAACAAATAGAGACAATCTCCAAATCATGCTTTATGTTTCAGAAAGATACTCCAATCAACATCATTACAAAATTCATCCTACAAAAACAAAAATGTGGAAATGTCACAAACCCTGATTGGACTCAGGTAACGGTATCAAAAGAAATAACTCATTTAGATATAGCTAGAAGCTGGACAAAGGAAGGAGAAATACATGTGGCAAATAGAATAAAACATGCAAGCCCTAGTGGTCTCTGGGGTGTGTATCGGATCGATAAACATTATAACCTTGATTAATAATTAATTTTTGATTGTATGGCGATTATTTTAATCTGATAACATTTTCGATATTAGTATTGATTTATGACGGATTTAACCTGCATTGATGATGTGATAAAGTACAGTATACGTTAAAGAAGTGGTACTCCAAATAATGTAGGTATTATTATGAGTAGAAAAATACAGTATACAGACTCGTTTCATTCCCCTTTCTCGAATAACCCTGGAATGGTTTTTGAACTTGTTTTGTTCATCCTGGAAAACCAACAAGTTAATAGCAAATGATTGATATGAAATAGGCCGTCAATGCGTAAGTGATATCAACATTCTTTTTTTTATCGAATGTCTGAACTGCTTATTGTGTCTAATTAACTGTTATCAATCGCGATGTCAACATATATCAAATTTGTGACTTATGTGTTATTTGAATATTGTCATATTGTGTATTTTTAGGTTGAAACATCATTTACAATAAAAAAGTTACAGCCTTTGACGAATTATCTTCATACATTTCAACGCAAGGCAATATATCTGTTGATGCCGATCACATAAGGTTAACAAAGAAGAAAAGAAGTACGGCCGAAGGGATTTCATAGAATATATGGTCGTTTACTAAAAGGAATACAGGATGAGTTAGTGACAATTGTGGTTGAAAAAATACTTCAAGATTTGGAAACAGCGTATACAAAACTAGAGCAAGACATGAGGTATTTTTAGAAGCATTTGATTCTGAAAGTGAAGAAGACAAACCAAAGATAAATGAACTTAATCATGATCTAACTGGTATGTACCGAGAACTTTGTAAATCAAGATCATTGTGTGAGAATCTAAGACAAAAGATAAAACATGAACAAGACAGTAAGCTAAAGGAACAAACTCGATGAAGCATGCTAAGAAAAATAAAGATACTGAAACGTTTAGGGTGAAAAAATTAGAGGCTCCTATTTTTGCTGGCAACATTCGTGATTATCCAAGTTTCACAGTTGATTATGAAAGACACATGCTATCGTCATACGGTAAAGATCCATATGCTCTGAAACAATGTTTAAGTGGTGAAGCCTTAACTGTCGTGAAATGTGTTGACAATGATTTCGAGGAAATGTTTCGGCGTCTTGATATGAAATATGGCAGAGCAGAGAAAGTGATCGATCACATATTAAATGAATTGAAAAGATTAAAGAAAGTTCAAGAAGGTGACAACATGAAGTTTATTTCGGTAGTAGAAACTGTCGAGAAATGTTGGCTTGATTTAGAACGAATGAACTTCGAAGCAGAGATGAACACAGCAACCATGGTGAGTCAGATAGAAAAACTCCTACCGCCTATACAAAAATGTGTATGGGCATTTCGACAACAGAAGACACAATCGAAATGTATTCCACTGAGTTTCAAAGAATTCTTATTTTTTTTGTAAGAGGAAAAGGGTGCTCTAGAGTACATGGAGTCTGTTTGCGTGAATATGGAACAGCAACAGGAAAGATAAATACTTTTGATGCAAATGAATCGGAAAATGACGAGAATAATAATGGTGTAGCCGTAGATCCCTTACAAGTGCAATTACAAGAGAACCAGCAAGTGATGAAACTGGTTGTTGAAGGTCTTGCACAGGTAGCGCTAGCAATGTCAAACAAACCGACAAATCGATACCATTCAGACAAATATACCGGTACAAATAGAAATACAGAAGAGAAGTTTAAGTGTTGGTATCACAAATCAGTTTATCATGAAATAGGTGCATGATTGTTCTATTTTTGCGAGATTAGATTGTCAGCCGAAGATTGATTTAGTGAGAAAAATGGTGGATGTTTCAGTTGTCTAAAGATAGGACATTTATCAAGAAATTGTCACAGCCGTAAACCTTGTGACATACAAAATGAGCTTCATCAAACATGTGGGAAAATTCATCACAAAAATTTGCACACTGCACACATGGATGGCATATCCTTTCATAACTCTACACAGGTGATAAACGATGACAAGAACAAGAATGGAGTACTATTAATGATCAGTTCAGTTCAGTGTTAGGACATGTCGTTGACAACACTTTGGGACCCTGGAGCGAACATGTCATTGATCACACACAAAACTGCTAAACGATTAGGATTATCTGGACAAGATATAACATTATCTATGACGAAAGTTGGAAATGTAACCAAACACGTACAAAGTAAAGAGTGTGTAATACCTTTGACTGACTTAGGAGGTAAAATATGGACAATAAAAGCATATGGCATGGAGGAAGTTACAGCCGCGATTGCAAGAGTTGATATGAGTAGAGTCGAACAACTGTTCAAAGGTATATACAAGAATGACATTCAAAGGCCAACTGGCCAAGTAGACATATTGATCGGCACAGATTGTTGTATTTTAATGCCAAATAAAGAAGAACACATTGGAAATTTACAGTTGATGAGAAATCAGTTTGGGTACTACATTCATGGCAGCCATCCACTACTAGAAGTCCCAAAATTGTCAAACCATGGCATAGTCCGTACTTACTGGGCATCTGGGAAAATCATTCCGTTAAATGATTTTCATGTATTGGACAGAGACAGTATTATGAACAAATTAGATTCACTTTTTGACATAGAAGGGCCTGGGAAACAAACCATATTAAAATGTGGCTCATGTAAGTGTGGCAAATGTGCTATAAGACAATCACAACACAGTATAAGGGAGGAGAGGGAATTACATATCATTAAATCAGGCATGACACATGATGAAGAATTCCAGCAATGGATAGTAAATTACCCTTGGATAAAAAATCCAAACAACCTTCCAAATAATATGAATTCAGCCTTATCAACACTTGGATCTACTGAAAAACGACTACTTCGAAATTTATTAGAATATGCAAGTGCCTACGATGAACAGATTATCGATATGGCGAAACGTGGCATAGCAAGAAAATTGACGAAGGAGGAGATGGAGAAACATAGCGGTCCGGTACATTACATACCACATCACGAGGTGTTAAAACCCGAATCAAAGTCGACACCATTAAGAATTGTGTTTAACTCTTCGTCATCTTATATGGGACACACTCTCAATGACTATTGGGCGAAAGGGTCCAATGTGATCAATGATTTGTTAGCGGTCTTAATTCGATTCAGACAAGAATCCATAGCTTTGGCTGGTGACATTTCAAAAATGTACAATGCGATAAGACTTTCACCGTTAGATCAGCACACACACCGATTTGTGTGGAGAAATTTAGAAACACACAGAGATCCAGATCACTATGCATTGTTAACAGTTACTTTTGGAGACAGACCGAGTGGAGCGATTTCGACGCTTGCATTACATCAAACGGCAAAAATATATCAACATATTTACCCAGATGCATCAAAAATGGTGATAAGAAACAGTTATGTAGATGATATATTACAGTCAGTTGAAAGTGTAGATAATGCTCGTTTGATAACCCAGCAGACCGACAAAATGCTGGCATGTGGAGGTTTCCGCATTAAACATTGGATTATATCTGGAAATGAAAAATGCGGCAGTACATTACAATCCGTATACTTTAGCAGCTAAGATTTTCATGCGAAAGCTATGCATAGAAAACAGTACGAATGACAAAACTCGAATCAATTCTCGGTGGGATTATGCCATGTCATCAGAATCACGATTAGAATGGGTGGATTTTTGCAAAGAGCTTTTCGACATAGAACAGTTGGAATTTCACAGATGTTTAAAACCCGATAATGCTGGTGGGGATCCCATGCTAGTTATATTTTCGGATGGAAGTAAATTAGTTTATGGAACATGTGCATATGTCAGATGGGGAACAGCACACGGAGGATTTGAATCACGATTAGTAACAGCAAAGAACCGTATAGCACCAACTAAACAGATGTCTGTTCCAAGACTGGAATTATGTGGAGATGTATTGGCACCTAGAATTAGACAAAAGTTAGCCGAGGAGATGGATTACAAATTTAGTCGTGTTATACACATAGTCGATTCGATGATTGTTAGGGCACAAATTCAACGAGAAAGTTATGGATTCGGCACATTTGTTGCTACAAGGGTAGCACAAATTCAAATTTAGACTGAACCGTCCGATTGAAGGTGGGTGCCAAGTGAATTCAATGCAGCGGACCTCGCGACAAGGATTACGTCTAATGATTTGGTTAAGAACTCAATATGGAAAAATGGACCTGAATTTTTGAATGATCCAATGGACCAGTGGCCTTTAAGGCAAGATTGTAATTTAGGTAATGATTGAGTTTATTTTTTATCTCAGTTATGTAGTTGTGCCCCTTCTGAGTTCGAAATATTTTCGTGTTTCAAAATGACACTGTATGAGTTGACAAGAAACACAATCATTGTGATACTAGTAATGATAATTATGAATGTGAAATGAGAAATACAATTTTGAACAAAATAATAAACACAAAAAAAAACAACAAAAAACAAAAATCAAACAGAAAAACCAAGAAAACACCCCATACAATTACAAATAAGATAAGAAAACAAGACAAAGAATCAAAGAAGAAAAAAAAGAAACAGTAGTATCATTATTAATGATAAAAATAATGATAATTATAATTATAAAACAGTCTATATATTTATAGAAGCTAACCATTTGTATCCCCTTGATCAGACTCAATAGAATTAACTCTTTTGGAAATAGCAGTCAAGACATTCAAAATTCTATTCGTCTTCAATTTTCTGTCATTCAGTTGCCACTGCACCCAGTGTCTGAAATACGCATCATTTAAACTGGTAACAAGAACTATTTGTAAAGTCGAAATTAAAACGACTAGAGACTTCAATTTGCTTTAGATAGTAAGGGTTGCAAAACTTGTAATATGAAAGGATGGTTTATTAGAAAATTATATATCAAGCACAAATAGCGTGTTAACTTATCGATACCATATAAGAATACAACATCTAAAGTATTTACATGAAAAGCAATGTGGAAATGCAAATCTGTTATTACATTAACTTTCCTGTTTGGAAAAAAGGAATCATTTACCAACCAGTCTTTCATGTAAAGTACATTTTGTATTCTAAGAATCAACAAAAAGTCAGTTTCAAAAATAATAAGAATGAATAGTTAAATATTGAAAATTTGTCAAGAATAGCTTGTTTAAGTTATACAAGCATTCGTTTATATAGATATCTATCATAATTTGTCCAATTCAACTGCACTAGCAAGGTCTCTCTAAAAAACAATTCACTATGTAACTATATTTTTGAGAGACAAAACACATCATTAGATTTAACAGTTCATTTTTCAACTTGTATACAAATAATCAAAACTATGTCTTTACATCGTGGTGTCTATGTTTTCTGTGATAAACCTGCACTCACTACAATGCGGATTTTCAAGTGACAGGACATCATTAGTATAAATACGAAAAAAAAAAGAACTCTGCGAGATACTTTTTCCTTTTGTATTTAAAAAGGTTATGTGTGTATTCTGCTTCATATGAGTACAAACAACAGGTCAACCAAAAAAAAAGGAGGCACCAATAGTACCAGCTTTGTTGAAATATAAGGAAACGACAAAGCAAGTATAAAAAAGAAAGCATTAGCATCACCCCAATGACATCAAATCGAAGCAAAATATGAAATAACAATTGTCTTGTAATCAGTAAATTTTGTCAAACACCATTATATTAAACACAAGACCGCCAACACATTTATCCTGATACATTTTCTAATACAATAATTCAGAAGAATACATTTTAAACAAACACATTATTTGCTCTATATTCTCTAACTACATTGGAAAAGCTGTCAATCCCGCACTTAGTTCAACGAAGGAAGGGTTGGTATAGTATTACCAGGGCTGGGAAAAAATCAGTGGGAAAACCTTGGTTTTTCCCGGTACGGGCAATACTCTCTGAAATGGGTTATACTGGGAAATACTGGGAAATACTGGGCAATATGATTTTTTGATAAACAAAATAGTTGAATAATCGACTTTCCTTACAATAGTTAATTGTTTATTCTAAATGTTAGGTGTATGTATTATAACCAAATTTACTATTATTTAAAGTTTAACCAATTTAGACAGAATTGATAGCAATTTTATAAATGTGTAGGAGAACTATCTATAACTCTTCGTTAGAAAACGTTTCGTATGTCTTAGAGTTGCTGGACCAATATTTTCTAAAATTTATAGACACTCTAAAGCAAATGAACTTTAAATAAATATTCGATTTTACATATTTCGTTATTTATGATTGCATTTGAAATTAATCACTGACTACTCTTAAAGATTATGGGCACCATTTTATATTACCAAGTATTACCCGGTAAAATCCAGTTAAACCCGGGTTTTCCAAATATTTCCCACTGAACAGTACAATACACATACAACCCGAGTCGAAACAAATCCTGGATAAAGGTATAGCCATATGGCGGATAAGAAACACAGGTAACCATAACAAATAATTACACAATATAACTAATCTCAAAGTGATGATTTATCAACAGACGAACTGAGTTATTGCTGCATACCAATTTAAAGGGACACAAATATTCCATCAGTTTATATAACTAGATAAAACACACTAATACATTAAATAAAACAAAAAAAAAAGTTTTATGAAAAAGTGTCGAGTATTGCAAAAGAGGAACAAAATATACCAAAGGGACATTAAAACTCATAAGACGAAAAATAAACCGACAACGCCATGGTTGAAAATGAAAACGACCAACAGAAAAACAACAGTTCACAAAATGCAACATATAAAACGAAAGACTGAGCAACACAAACCCCACCAAAAACTAGGGGTGATCTCAGTTGCTCCGGAAGGGTAAGTAGATCCTGCTCCACATGTGTCACCCGTCGTGTTGCTCGTGTTAGTAGTACACACCTGGTGATAAGTCTAATTCGGAAGGTCACATTCGTGTAAGAGGGGACGGGATTGTAGTTACGACAATTGGAACATATCCACTGTCATCTGTGAAACGGATCTTCCATAACGGTCAACCAACTCGTGATGGCGTCTGTAAAATTTACGATGGGTTGATTTCAACTTCACCACTAGGAACTTGGTTAAATAGATTCTTTGAGGGCAGCAACCCTCTATCATGGAAATCATGATAGGAAATACAAGAATATCTAATTAACTGGGAAATATATACTCCGTATGCTGGCGCTGCTGTAATGCTGCTACATAGAAATGGAGTGTTTACAATTGGGAAGCTGAAATCATCTCTTTTTTCGCAAAGTTTTGTTTTCAACCGACCCTCACTGTCTATTTCTAGATGTAAGTCAAGATATAAATATATATCAATAAATAAGTTGTATATTTTATTGTATCACAGTAATGCATCTAAAGATGACCATCTCAAGCTTTTATTGCGGAAACAGTTAGCTAGTTTCAGATTCAATCACTATGGGATACGTGGTACCATTTGTCTTTTAGAATAACAAAATGGTATACCAAGTGTAAATGCGTGTTAATTTATTGATATCAGATTAGATTACTACATCAACATTATTTACATATATGGCATATCACTTGTACAATTCGTATAGTACATGAACTTCCGTGTTTAAAATTAAAAAAAAAACCAGTTTACATGTTTACATTTCTAATCAACAAAACGTCTTTTCTATAAGATTAAGAATAATTGGTAGATATTGCATAGATGAAAAACATACATGTGTTTAGATATTAAACATTTATTGCAATGGGAGCCAATTTAACTGCATGTCACTATGGTTCATTTGAAATATAATTAATGATACATATTTCATGCTCAAAAACTAGGAATAAGAATTTCGAGAAATTTTTCAGAAACAATGAAAACTAATTGGTAAATTCAGAAATTCAGCATTTTGTAGAGGTGGTACGTAATGTATAAAGTTCGTGCCAATGTATTGATATCATATTATACAACCACATCAGAAATATTGTTCACGAATAGAATATTTGATGAACAATCCATATATGATATGAACTATCTTGTTTGAAATACAAACAAAAAATATACTTTTGATATATCTTCTATGTAAAGTACATGTTTCAGTCGTAGAAACAAAAAAACAAAAACGTTATTTCAATAATAATACAAATAAAGGGTTGTATGTTGAATATATGCGAAGAATCTTATGTTGGTTGGTATATATACATGCATTTGGTTAAATACGTATTGTTATGAGTAGCACGATTTAATTGATCTATTAGAACGGTCATATCACCATGATGACAGGCAATGCACGAAACATCTTAAGGTAAAATAATATAAGATATATTTCATTATTAAAGCTTATATATTAATATATTAAACTACATCTACAAATAGTGGTCTATGTTCTCTGTAATGATACTTGTTCAAAGGATTTGGATACGATTAAACAGTATACATTTGTTATCGAGCAAAGATAACCGCTGTTATACTTTAAGTTTCTGCCATGCTGCAGGAGCATTAACACGGGACCGTTGAACTTATTTCGAAAGCACAAAGTCCCCCCTTGCTTTCTTCTTAATCATTGGTATACCAATTGAATATTATGATTGTTTGCATATTAAACATTTTTATTGACAAATATCTCTCTACATAATATTTTTATTGGTGCATGACAATAGAGAGTTTTGTGATAAAGGTGTTGGTCCTTGAAGAAGACTTTATAAGTTTAATTCATTACAAAATAGTATTGACATTACTAATATAGATTCCACATCTATTTTTGCTTTTGAAGTTAGTTTTAAACATTTGATTTCAGGAAAGGTTCAGAAAGAACGACCAATGCTAGTATAACCAAGCCGATGCTGAAAACAGGTAAATACCGAGAATAACTGACAAACATTGGTCAATATTGGTCGATTAAAATTGTAAGTGGACCATTCTATAAAACTCCGTCCCGTATCTAGTAAACTGCTATTATTTGCTGTAATTCATGTACGCATGCAAGTGTTTAAGTCGACCAACCATTTCGAATGCTATCTTTCCTTCTTTCCTTATACATGTTATATCAATAGACATTCGTCATGGACAGTGATTTAATAGTGTATACTTATTGACCGGGTATGCGTGGAATAGTAAGTTTATTGTCCCCGAGGTGCTACGCCTCGGGGCAATAGT